CAGCTTGAGGGGGAGGGTTAAGATGTGCCGAATAGGGGTAGTTTAGTCTTCTTCTGTTTGTTAAGTAACTTGCTTATGTGGCAGTGTTATTAGAGTTACTCTGCCCCACACTTAAGTAAGGGCATTTCTGTCTTTGTAAACATTATTAGAATCTAATATAGATTAAGGGGGTCGACTGCATGGGTTAACCATCATATTTTCAACAGACCCTTCTTCTTCTTCTCTTCTTCTTCTTCTTCTTCTTCTTCTTCTTCTTCTTCTCTTCTTCTTCTTCTCTTCTTGTTCGAACTACTGTAGCAGCAGTCGAAACACAATTGATTATGCCAAAGCATAACTTGACTTACAGGATAAGAAACAAAAAGACCTTCCAATTGCTTTATTCCTCCAAGGTGGATGCTCAAGCAAGTAAATTCCATTTGTTTGATGGCCAGTCCCAATCACCTTCTTTGTCACCAAATCCTGAAAAACACAACCATCAAGTAAAAATGTCACCAAAAAATTCTAATTTTTAGTAATAATAGTAATTGAAAGTAGATTAGTACTAAGCTTAGGATCATGCAAGACTAAGGACAAGGAAATGGCATCAGACACTTAGATGTCTCCCTTACCAAAATAGAAACAAGAGATTCATCAGCAATAAATACTTTGTCTCTACTAAAGGACAAATAATAAAAGGTGAATAAAGAAGATAAGCCAGTCATATGATCATAAAGGCACTTGAATATAATCCAAAAAAGACTAGTGTCACTTGGGGCTAAAGCATGATAGGCAATAGCCCTTGTACCTAAGTGTGCAAATGCTGAGGTAGGAGTAGGAAGTATGGAAGATGACTGAGACGACCCAATAATACCAACATCACTTTCTAGATGATTCAAAGAAGCTCTAACTACAACTAAAGCATCTAGAAAAGTGGATCTAGTGCTCATCATGGATGGAGCCTCTATAGTAGCAACAGCATGGCATTCCCTTTTTTTATTTTTGAGCCTTGCTAGAATAAGGTGAGGATGAAGCTTCCACAAGTGTCCCTGGTGTGTTTTGGCTTCTTATAGTAATCACAAAGTACTTCCCTCTTCTCTTCTTCATTTTCTTCTCTGTATCACCACCAAGCTTTAGCTTTATAGTTGTTAAAATTAATTCCATAGGCAGAATCTGTAACATAACCTCCCTCCTACTTTTTTCACTATGTACCAAGGAGTAGGCTTGAGATAAGATGACACTGTCTCTAGTAAGAAGTTATTGCCTCACAATGTCATAATCTGAATTCAGTCCAGCATGTAACTCAAACATCCTATTTGTCTCAACTAACTTTTTATATGCTGTTGTGTCCTTTTGACTCTTTCACTCAATTGTCTCCAAGTGATCAATTTCATTCCATAACGGTTTCAAGGTAGAGAAGTAAAGTGATACAGGTTACTCCCCCAGTTTAAGATTGGTCACCTCACTCTTCAACTCATAAGCTTTAGCAACATTAGGTGACTGAGATAAGTTTCCTTCATATTATCACAAATCTCCTTAGTTGTCTTTGCCAAAAGGTAATTTCAACTAATATGAGACCACATGGAATTGCACAACCAAATCATGACTAGATAGTTTTCTTGAACCCACTTAGCATGAGATGGGTCTTCCTTGGATGGTGTCTTTGTATCTCCAATGGCATATCCTAATTTTCCCCTTCCTCCAGTGGCTATCATGGCTGATTAAGCCCATTCCAAGTAATTAGTTCCATCGAACTTAACAGTGGTGATCTGAAAGGAAATTGTCAGATACACTTCCAACCCCCATAAGTTCTTCCCCATGTGATTTAGATTCATTCCCAGCTGTCTCCATAATGTACGTACCACTAGGAAATCACAAAACTCAAGGAAGAAAGACCTATTTAACTGTTCACGAGGCTGGAAATAACTGTATGGCAACCAGTAGCAGTCCTCAAGAGAAAAGATAATGGGCTGAAAACAGAGCTGAATGGTTTCCAGAGAAAAAAGATCCCTAAAATCAGCCCTGGAGAAATTTGTTTTCACCAACTGCTCCGCCCAGAAATATCGAAAACCCTTCTACTAGCTGTCAATCTCAAGAAGGATGCAAAATCTACCCAGAAAAACTGAGTGCGACCTCCAATCAATGGTTAACCCCTAAACCTCAATCTGACCTGATTTTTCGGGCTCTTCCTAGTCACTGGGCAATCTCCAAGATCTCACAACACCTTGGGCACCAACTGGAATCTCCAATGGTCTCCAAGAAGCGATAAGTGCTATAAACTCCAGCCCTAGATAATTCTCATGTAACCAGCTGGATCAAGTCCACATCAAAACCCTTCTCAATCCTAAACTTACTCTGATACCAACTTGGCTGAAATAGAAGGTAATCAAATCTGGTTTTGATCAGAAATCAGCAAAGAAAGAAGGAAAAAGTGAAAAAGTGAAAAAGAAAATTCAGAGAAGAATCTTATGGTCCTACCACCCCAATGATTGATATTTATATTAAAGCAAATAAAAGAGTATACAAAGACAAGAATAACCCTGCCATCTATATAAAGCAAATAAATGTCTTTGCCAAAATTTTCCGAACAATCCTAAATAAAAAAAGGGCAGCCCTGTGAATGAGATTCCCACCACTGTGGGGTCTGGGGAGGGACAGATGTACGCAGCCTTACCCCTGCACATACAGAGAAGCTGTTTCCTAAATCATTAGAATAATAGTCTTTAAATTGAAAATTTGATGCAAACAAGTTTCAGAGGTTGAAATTATGGGTGTAATTGATTCAGGTGGAGTTAAAACATTTACCTAGAATTTTGGCGGAAGCAAACCTTTACCATTATAATCTTCACGTATAAAACAGAGTTTCAGTAACTGTAGAAACAATCATCTGAATCTTATATATCCTAGCTAGCCATTAGCTCATGACCAGATCTTTAAGTTTGGACTTTGCAGTCATATGTGTTCATATGCAAGGACATCAGTGTCATTGTAGATTTTTTATACTATAAATACTAATTATCTGACTGCCCAAATTTGTCATTGTAGATTTTTTATACTATAAATACTAATTATCTGACTGCCCAAGTTTCTCTTGCTCTCTTAAACACGGGTTCCTTCCCTACTTCTTGGACTTGACCAAACATTCAACTGCTAGATACATTAAAGCGTTCAGAGCAAGTTAATATCATTTTATCCTGCAGATAAGAGTAAGGAACTCCCCAAGGTAGGTGATTTGGTACGTGTTTCTTCACTTGGTAAAAATGCAACAGTGATAAAGGTGGAGGCATCTAAAGAAGAGATCATAGTTCAAGCCAGCAACATGAAATTGCGCTTGAAATTAAGTGACATTGAAACCTGTAGGTAAGTACGGATGTATGGATATGTATGACCTAATGCCAGCTTGGCTTCAATGTATATACAGTTTCCCAAGGTCAAAGTAAGCAAGTTCAAATTTCAATATTTCCCTAACTATGCTAAGGTAAGTTTAAATGGTGGGAAAATCTATGCTGCTAGAAAGACATGATGCCGGTAGAGCTTTGACCAATCAATTCGGCCTGTAATTTTGATAAATACCACCTGATCGGGTTATCACTTTTATGATTCTAGTTGATTGGTTACAAATTTTTCCGACCTAATGCCAGCTTGGCTTCAACGTATATACAGTTTCCCAAGGTCAAAGTCAAGTTCAAATTTCAATATTTCCCCAATTATGATCATGTAAGTTTAAATGGCGGGAAAATTTATGCTGCTGGAAATACATGATGTCAGAAGAGCTTTGACCAATCAATTTGGCCTGTAATTTTGATAAATACCACTTTTATGATACTAGTTGATTGGTTAGAAGCTATTCTGATATCATGTCCTGATATGATAGTCGAACCCTTGAATAGTTGTCTTAAATGTAGGAGTAACGAGAAAGATAAGGAGACTACTTTGAAACCCTTGAATAGTTGTCTTAAATGTAGGAGTAACGAGAAAGATAAGGAGACTACTTTGAAAAAGAAAAAAGGTCAAATAGACAAATTTGAATTTCAATATTACCTTAATAATGCTATTTTTAAGTTAAATGATTGCTTTAAAAGTAGGCGTTAGTTAGAAGTTATCGTATGAATATAGGAATTAATGAAGATGACGAGTCATACAAATTTGAATTTTAAAAGTTGTCATAGGAATCAATGCGAAAGTAATTATAGGAGTTATTATTGAGATATCTGAGCTTTGCAACAATGTGTATTAAATAGCACTCTGGATAATGTTCCCACACCCCGCGGTGTATTGGTAACATCTCTCATGGATAAAAAGGGAGATATTTTCAATGCACAGCTGTCATGTCATGTGGGTTGGTAAGTGGGAACAACTTGCTGCTAGCAGATCCGAGCTCATTAAATAGTAGTTGAAACTTTTGTGTTTCATACAATATTTTCAATCTGTTGTTAATCTGGCCAATCAAATCGTTTGACCCATTACTCGGACAGGATTCTAAGTCCAGTCAAACTGTTGACTCATTCAACCCAGTCAACCCAGTCACTGGGTCATGGGTTATATATTCAGTGTATCTAAACTTTCAAAAGACATAACTTTGCACTCTGATGTTTGATTGGGATGCTTTTTTTGTATTTTGGGCAACTTTTCAAGATCTATACATTCCAGGTAGCCATAGGCACCTTGCCCCGTTATTTTTGCAATAAAAAAAACATTCTTTGGCCTTAAATTACAATTTTTAATATCTTTTATAAATAAAAAAATTAAAAATATAAATTAAATATAAAAAAATTGATACAGGTTCAATACAGTATGATACGACTGATACCAGTTGGCACATGTAGAACAAGTAGGAGCTAACCCCTTTTCCACCATTATCACAACAATTGTCAAAATAGAAATGAAAAAAGGTATATTGCATTGATATTTTAATCTTTTCTTTTTTATTTATTATGGGCTTTAAAAAAAAGAAAGGAATTCTAAATAGATATATAGACCTAATTACAGATATGCATGAAGCCATGAACGCTTGTAGCATATATCAAATTTTACAATTTCAATAGATTTTCACTAAGGTTCAACATTTTGCTTTCATTTAATTTCACTGATCGTATATGAATTGACTAAACATATTTTGGAGGTGGTTCCATGTTACATGTTTGTTGATGACATTGTTTTAATTAATAAAACTAATAAAGGATTAAGTATATAATTAAGCTTATAAACGAATGTCATAGAAATAATATGTTTTCAAATAATAACTAAAATAAAATATATGATATGCAAGTTCAATAATGATAAGTGTGTAAATTATAATATATTTATGATTAGAGCCCAAGAAATCTCAATATGACATTTTTTTGGTGCCTTGATTTGACAAGTCATAATAAGAGAGATTGTGGAAGATGAGTAAAACGGAGGGGTGCATTTGGAATTATATGTGATATGCAAATACCACTTAGATTATAAGGAAATTTTTATAAAATAGTTGCAAAACAACCATGTTGTATAGAGTGTTGGGTAGTCAAGAAATGTCTAAAAAATAAGTGTGTTAAAAATGTGTATGCTGAGATGAATAAATAGATAAAGAGAAAGTAAACTAAAAATGGGTTGGTCATGTTCATTGAAGAACTTAGACAACACCCATAAGAAATGATCTATATCAAGTTGGAGCCTAGAGGGGCTATAAGTGCTAGGGATAGTCAAAAAGGGACATGGTAAGTAGTAAAAAATGTTTTTTAGATATAGTAACAAATGATTTAAGCACCAACAATTTAACATTGGATATGACTTTAGACAGAATGGAATGGCAATACAAAACTGACCCATATGGTTGGGATAAGGCTTGAATGATGATTTTTATGGTTGGAATAAGGCTTGGATGATGATTTTAGAGTTCACATCAGCCCCCCACAAGGAGGTGCCCCACAATGTTCCACAGCACATCCTAGTATGTATTGAGAACATCTCTAGATGATGTCTCATCATTTCTTGTACAATCATGGAGAGATTCCCAATATACGGCTGGAATGTAGGGCACCCCCGAGCTGATGTGAACTCATGATTTTAAACCTTGCTTTTAGTGGATAAGTAATTAAGTGGGTTGCAACTGATTGAATGGTGCGTTGAGTTGATCATACTTGATCACACCCCCTAAATATTTTATATATAATTTGAAAAAAAAAATAATGGGAATTTGATAAATAACCACCTGATTGGTTACCACTTTAATGATATCAGTCGATTGGTTATAAATTTTTCCAATATCATAGTCGAACTCATAAAAATAATCTATACACCAAGCCAGCACATTAGAATTTAATTTTTTTTAATTCGACCAAACCAGAAGTTGCCCATTAATAGGGAGGATTGAAGATGTTAGCGCAAAACACCAAAAAGTGTACATTGTGTATATCAATGGTGGTTCATGATCCTGTATGCATGCTTCAGACAGCTCAGATAGCAGTTGTTGGATGGGGCTAGAATCAACCTTCCCAAATGATTCTATAGGTGTAACAGGAATATTTTATTTTTGGCTTGGGGTGCAAGGTGCCCGATTAAAGTGCTTATAGGAACAGTATCTCCTAAAAACAAAAATTCTGAAAAATCTTGAGAATCCAGTTATACATTGGAAACATCTCCCCATAAATTTTAATTTTACTTTCTGTGTATTACTCATGTTACCATTAAATAGGGCCAAGTAGCAGCCACTTCTCACCCACTCTAAGACTTAACAAATATGAGACTAAGAAAAGAAAATGCTAATATGTGGAAAATACCCCCCTCCCCGTATTGGCATGCATCCCACTTTATGCCACCGGGTCCCACAAAGTTAGGAGGTTGAAGTTTGTGCCATAGCACAAAATCCAGTGTTCTCCACAGGCTAGTAAGACTCTGAGAGATCTAATTTCTGAGATACCTACTCCCTGGGGGTTTCAAGATATTCTTATGGCTGTGGGTGGGACCGCACTGGGCCAAGCACCGCTCCATCATATGAATCTCATGGCTCCCAATTCCTTGTTTAACACTCTTGTATTTGCAATTGCAAGACTTCTCAAAAGAACCCAATGTAAAAAGCAACTCCCGAGTCCCAAGTAAACTACCCCATGTTAAATAGTCCCTTTGACAATTTGTGATAGATCGTTTTAATGGCGAAAGCAGTGTTGTTGCTATCCAACTCAGACCACACCAGATAGTCTGAGTCTGTCGTGAAAACCAAGAACGGGCTGACCATCGGGTTAACCAGTAAACCATGATACCGAGAATTCTGATTTTTAGTCTGGACTGAGATAAAATATTGGGCGAAAGGCCAAAATGAACGACGACGAAAATATAGATCCAGAATCCAAACCCCATCATGGGTGCTTAATGGCACCCAGACAGAAAAATAGAACTAACAAGTAATAACCCCTAAATTATGATTTTGCTTACGCGGCAGCTGTTTTAGCTTTCAAAAACAAATTATCATGGTCAACACCCCCCTAATTTATGAATCCTTTCAAAGGGGCTTCAAAAAAATTAAAATGCAAAAACAATATCAGATTCAAGCATTACATCCAAGAGGTAACCTAGTAAAATTTATTTATTTATTTATTATTTTACATGCCCAGATGCTTCAGGGCTAAACCTAGGCCCAGTTAACCGCTACCATTGGAAGTTAGGAAAACTCAATAAGCCTGGATACAAAAGAGGCTTCTTTTCTGTTTACGACTTGAGAGTGAGACGCAACCCAGAATGCTGGATGAGGATTCACTTGTAAACCATTGTCACCAATTCTTCTTGGTCTGTTTTGTCGCAGGGGCTTTGAGAGTGCTCTGCAATCTCCCCACCTAAGAATCCTTGTATGCGCCCATAAACCTGCCGTCTGCCAGGGGGTGGGGGTCTTAACAAAGGACCTAATGTCTATAGGACCTGTAAAAAGTAATGAGCATATCTCCTACATGCAGCACAAAATTGGTTTTTTTAAAACACGTAGAAGTGAGACACCATACCTAATTTATTTCATAAACCCCTGACAAGCAGCTTCAGGTTTCAACTGTGTCCATGTGAATAGAGGGCTTAAACATCTCCTAGAGACCTCAAATAGCCGGAAAGCAACTTTTGGTGAATAACATGGAGTGACAGAGGTGGTTGTCTTTCAGGCATTGATCAACAGCTCTCACCTCGAGCTTCTTTTTGTAACTTATACCTAGCTCTCCGTGTGTTTTACTACAAGAATTATTCACACGTAGGATAAAATTTCTTTTTTCTCTAGGAAAAAATTGGATCAGATCGAATGATCCAAAAGGGGTTGGGAAAATCATTTTATAAGAGGAATGGACATCAGGCTGAGAATCTTAGTCGAGTCAAACATGATTTGCCTGTAACACGTGCTATCCTTTGAGCAATATGCCTTCAATATTTGCTTCATCCGAGCAAGAAAAAGGATTTCAATGGACCATAAAGTAGGAAATAAATTAGGCACAAGGAAACCATATATGCAGGCAAAAAATTAGGCACAATAAAGTGTGCAGTCTGAGGGTTTTCAGATTGATTCTTTCCCCGGTGCTAGGCATCTAAAATGGGGCATGCATTTTACAACAGCATATATATCTATTTGTCATAACTAAGATGGAGAGGAAATGCAGATTTCCCTTTTTTTTAATATAGAATCTTAAACAAGGGACTAAGGCAACTTACAAAAATGTCTATGCAGTAGCAACACAGAGTGGGCTGTGTAAAATATCGCCCAGAATTTGATCAGTGCTCCAATATTTTGATCCTCTCAAGACAATTATGCATTTGCTGAGTGATCTCTGGTGTAAGCTGATCTCCTGCCACAAGCTTATACTGTTCAAACTTTGCTTCATCACATTTCAAGGCAGCATTTTTACAAGCTTTAATGCTTCCTGAAATAAACAGACAAGAAATATTAATTCATGAAGACAAAAAATATATATAAAAATAAACCCACTTATTCTATGGATATATCAAGCACCATTTTCATTCAAAGAAATTAGTTGAACCAACAAATTATAATGCAAACTAAGAAGACAATTATGTATTTCAGGACTCAAACGTGCATGTCAATACTCACTTTCTCATACACAGAAAAGAAAAAAAAATTAAAAAAATAACAAAGGAAAATATTTTTGAATTCAGGAAATTTGACATTTTACATACATTCAAAATATTTTCTAAAATCAATAATACAATAACATTTTCTTACACAAACAAATGAAGAGAAATCATTTTCCTACCAGTCATGGAAAACTGTCCTTTATCACCTTCAGAAAATGTCAGGAATGTAATCTTGTCTTGTAAATCAAAAAGGTAGAAGTTAAAAAAATGCTCATTTACTTAGACCCCTCCTATGGTTTCATCTATTTACTAAAGCCTACCCTGTAGTTTGCATATTACTAAAACACCTCCATAGCCTACAACCATGTTACTTGATCAACCTTTCGTTAGGAACTGTTTGTATTTCCATCTAAGAATAGCCACATAACCTCTTAAGACAACCCTAGTAGTTCTCATATCACACACACTCCACACTTTCTCCAGACCAAGTTATTACGTGGAGTGAAGGTTTTGTTTCTAAAAGGTTGATATAAGAACTACTACGGGGTATTTTTCAAATAAAAAAACCAGGACCATTTTCAGTTGGAAATACAAACTCTTCCAGAAAGAAGGTCAATTAAGTAAAGCACTTGCAAACTATGGGTAATACACAAACTAGAGGGTAGGTTTTAGTAAATGCGTGAAACTAAATGACCCAAAAAAAGAATAAAGACTCATGGAGCAATGCAACTTTGAAAATATAACAGATGGTTAGAAAAATTCCATTAGCAGTTCCACAAAACATTACCAGCTAAAGAAGTTAAAGACAACTCTATTGAGAAATGTTTAAATAAGTGATTGTTAAAACTAAATACTAATTGATTTTATTGTAATTACACAAACTAATAGATAATTATTTCTTATTATGAAAATCAAGTCACAACATTTAGTAGGTTATTCCCTGGATAATTAACAAAACCACTTTCATACATTTAGTGGAAGTTCTGACTAGGAAATGCTTCAAGACATAATTACCCGTCTCAATATATTAGAACTTCTAGTAAGCAGAGGGAGTTACTTTAACTTGAAAAGTTGAATCATAAAAAGCTAGATAGGGAACAGAGTATCTTCAAGAGTTCTGCACTATCTACTCACCACTCAAGTTAAGCAAGTTAAACAGAACAGGGCAATTTCCGATAAGCCTGACCATGGTCATTGCAGACCATACTTTTCGGTATTCCTCACGTGAAGCTCTTATGATGCACAGCTTGGTTATAGGGTTGACATATTTAACTGCATGTAGATTGCTAGTTAGAGATTGAATGAAAGTAACTACTACTGGAAGTCAATGTCAATGTCTAACAACTAGACTACAACTGATTCAGGGCTGAATCCCAAATATTACCCTGGAATGATCCAATTGATGAAGCTAGTCCACACTCTCCAAAGTTTACAAGAATGCTTTCATTGATTGCCTTGGAAATATTAAGTTGAGTGATGATAATAGGATCATTACGCAGAAGCTCTCTGTTTGGATCTAAGAAAACCTCCATTACCATGTATCTATTTTTGAATCCCACCATGATTCTTCACTTTCACAGGAAAAGAACAATATGTTAGATAAATAGGATACTGAATGCAAGAATAAGACGTGCATTTTTTGGATGCATTGATAGAAATGGCATCCAGATATATGATGGCATTTCAAACCATGAATTCATGAATGGTTAACCAACCAGGTACACATTTGAATCCCCTTTCATGATTAGCTGATTGAAATTATGCTACCTGCTAATATTATTATTTTTTTTTTTTTGTAAAAGGTAAGGTATTTTATTAATTCAACTAACAGTACAAAGGAGCCTAGGCAAAAAAGAAGCTGCATAGAAACACCTCAGATTACAAATGCATCCAAGACTGAGAACTAAACAACAATCGCATGTTCTGATTTTTAAATTCCTCCGTTACCGACACCCAAGACAGTAATTTGCCCACAGCTTTCTGCACCATTTCCTCTAGAGATTTAGCTTTACCCTGAAAAGTTCTGTTGTTTCTTTCAGTCCAGATAGTCCAAAGTACCGCAGTTGGAACAGTGTTCCAAACCAAGGTTCCTTTCTTGCTAAGACCCTCAATTCTCCAACAATACAGCAGATCCTTCATAAAAGTTGGCATTACCCAACTGACTTCCAAGGCCTGAAGGAAATGCCTCCAAATATAAGCCAAAACTGGGCAATGCATAGAAAGATGCTCAATAGTTTCTGCTGACCTACCACACAAGCCACATGACATGTCCAAAACCCAGATGCCCTGTTTCATTAAATTAATTCTGGTTAGACACTTATTTAAAGCCACTGTCCAGATCAGAAACTTCACTTTAGAAGGACTATTAGTGTTCCTTGCCTAGCCGGAAAGTTGACATGACCTGAACTTATCAACTTACTGAACATAGACTTTAAAGTGAACCAACCATCAGCTTCCCATTTCCACCTCCAAGCATCCTCCTTGTTCAAGTCAACCTTCTGATTATGAAGCAAGCCCAGCAGATTCACATACTCTTCAACTTCCCAATCAAAGAGGCTTCTCCTATAAAGCAGATTCCAACTACTAGAGCTACCTGAAACAATGAAATTCTCAGCAACCGAGGATTCCTGATTTACAGAAATTTGATACAAGAGAGGAAAGGCATCTTTCAGACACGCTTCAGAGCACCAAGAGTCTTTCCTAAATTTAATTCTTTCCCCATTTCCCAATTTATAACCGATTCCTTCCTCAAATAAGAGTAGAGATCTTCAAGATACCTGTCCAAATGGAACTTATTCCTCTTGCAATAGGACCCTTGGACCTCCAACCACCCCAATCCACCCCATATTTTATCCACGATAAGCTTTTTCCACCATGCATTCCTTTCATTTGCAAATCTCCAAAGCCATTTACAAAGGAGAGCAGAGTTGAACATCTTCAATTTTCTTATTTCCAACCCACCATCCTTACGAAGACGCACTTGGTCCCAGTTTACAATATGAACTTTCTTTTCCTCCTCCCAACCTCTCCAAAGAAAGTTCCTCTGTATTTGCTCCAATCTATTTGCAACTTTGGTTGGAATAGGGAAGAGGGAGAGGAAATAAGTAGGGAGGTTAGAGAGAGTGCTCTTTATCAATGTTACTCTCCCCCCAAAAGACAAATATTTAGCTTTCCAAGATGCCAATTTCCTCTCCATTCTCTCAATCACTAGAACCCAAATCTCAAAGGAAGTACATTTAGCCCCAAGTACTTGACCAGAAGATGGGCAATCTGACAAGCCATCACTTCTGCACAATCATCTAAATTTGTAACATGACCTACAGGAATTATTTGAGATTTACTCAAATTTACCTTGAGGCCAGACACCACCTCAAACCAACTCAAAATTCCAAGCACCACCTCCAGCTGACTTGGGGAAGCATCAACAAAACATAAAGTGTCGTCAAAAAACTAAAGAATATTAACTTTTTCCTTACCCGTCGCAATTGCAAAGCCCTCCCAAAGCCCATTCTCAGCAGCCTTCTTGCTAAAAAGAGTTAGAATTTCCATGACACAAATGAAAAGCAAAGGAGAAAGAGGATCACCTTACCTCAAACCTCTAGAACTCCCAAAAAACCCCATCGATTGCCCATTAATTAAGATGAGAACTTAGGGGTCTTGACACAAACTCTGATCCAGTTTCTCCAATTCTGCCCAAAATTCGTTTTCTCCAACACCAGGTCCAAGCAATGCCAGTTTACATGATCATAAGCTTTTTTAATGTCAAGTTTACACATAACACCTAGGGTCCCCTCTCTTCTTCTGGATTCCAGCAATTCATTAGCAATGAGAATTGAATCAACCATCTGTCTACCTAGGACAAAAGCACTTTGGTTGCAAGAAATAACACTGCCTAACACACATTTCTTCCTTTCTACAAAAACTTTAGTCAAGATTTTGTAAAAACTGTGCAAGAGACTAATGGGCCTAAAATCCTTTATATTGACAGCCCCCTCAATTTTTGGAATGAAAGTGATGAAAGTTGCATTCAGACTTCTTTGAAATGAGGCATTAGTATGAAATGCCTAGAACACCTGCATCAAATCATTATTCACAATATCCCAGCATTTTAAATAAAATAAATTAGAAAACCCATCCAGTCCCGATGACTTGTCACTTTCCAACTTCTTTACTGCATCCTTAATTTCCTCTTCTGTAAATGGTCTCTCAATCCAGAAATTCTGCTCTTCATTTAGTTTATTGAAATGTAGCTCGAAAGGGAAAGGTCTCTGAACCCATCTCTCTTTATAAAGGTTCTTATAAAAAGAAGTAGCTACAGATTTAACCTCGGAGCTAGACTCACCACTCCTGTCCTCCCACACCAAATTACTGATCGAAGAGATCCTAGCACAAGCATTTGCCATTTTATGAAAGAACTTTGTATTTTAATCACCCTATTTGAACCAAATAGATTTAGCTCTATGTCTCCACTTCATCTCCTCCTCTACTGCCATCTTATCATATCTGAGTTTTGCAATTGACCTCTTAAGTCTCAGATCTTCAGTCAAGGGACCCGCCTCTTCAGCTCTGTCAATCTTGACAATGGTGCTCAACAAAGCCTTTTTTTTCAGTATCCAACTTCATATTCTTCTCCATGCTCCAAATTTTTTAACTTTCCCATGATGGCTTTAAGTTTTGATGCCATAACAAAAAAGCTAGAACCCTCCACCTGCAACTCATTCCACACATATCTGATTAAAGGGATAAGATTTTTCAAATTTAAAAGGGGATTTGAATGTCTCAAGGGTACATTTGACGATATGAATCACTTGAAAAATAAAAGCTGAATAGGACTGTGGTTGGACACAGGTCTAGGAAGGGTAAGCTGCCTGAAATCAGGAAAAAATTCATCCCAGTTTGAGGGTACCAAAAACCTGTCCAGCCTAAACAGAGTTGGGACTGATTGATTATTAGTCCAAGTGAATCTATTACCCTGAATTGGAACATCCATTAACTCCATACTATTAATGAAGCCAGCAAACATGTTCATCAAGCTAGTTCTTCTATCCCTTGTATTCTTCTCATCCACCGAAATAGTAGCATTAAAGTCACCCCTGATTACCCAAGGATAATTCTGAGGATCTCTCAAGTCTGTTAATTCCTCCCAAAAAGCCGCCCGAAGATTTGAGTCAACAGGACCATAAATATTTGTAACTTGAATAAGCTTTCCATCTTGTAATTTCAGCCTTAGATTGAGAAGTTACCAATTCTGCTGGAAACCAGAGAACAGAAAGTAGGGTCCCAAAGGCTCACAATACCACCGGCACTACCAGAAGCAGCCAAGGCCTCCCATCTGACCTGACCCTCCCCCCAGATACTTCGAACCGTAGCAGCATCAAGACTCTCCAGCTTAGTTTCTTGGAGCAAGACTATCTTAGACTTTGATTGTTTCAGAGAATCACATACCATCACCCTCCTCTTATACCTTGTTAAACTGCTCTTAGCTCTTATGAAAAAAGAAAAAGAAAGGGAAAAAAAACTGATCTTAGCTCTGCTATGGTGGATTTCAACTAGGTCTAGCCTGTCAAGTTTCTTTTTAGAAATCCAAGAGTAAGGGAGTAGGAGGTATATATGCCACCCAATGTTTTGAAACATGGAGCCATGAGGCGACGGGTTCCATTACCTGGAAGCATGACGAGTAATTGAAAATGCAGGAGACATAACTTCATTCAGCATCTGTAACGCCCAATCGGATGGACTGTTTACCTTTGACCTTCGCTCAGCAGCGTGGAACTGGATATTTTTGCTGATGGGAATTCCTACCTTGCCAGGATTGCAACTTCCATTGAAGCTTCCCTGTGGATGGAAGCTCACAAGGAGGAAGCTGGGTCTACTACTGATGGCAAAGTTCTGTAACAGTTGGACGAAGGATTCAGGGAAGGGTCTGGCTCAGTACTCGCTGGCAGAAGGGAGGAAGGTATGGAGAGGTTGGAAGGAGATGGAGGGGAAGAGGAAGAGAAAATTCCAAGGAAGGTAGCAAGTGGTGATGAGGATAGTTCGGGGGAGGAACAGGAAAAAATTGGTTTTTATAAAGAAGCATAGGAAAAGGAAGGAATTGAATAGATTGAAGTTAATGGAACAAAGTTTTATAACGAGCATTGCTACTAGAACAACTAGTGTTGATGGGATGAGTCCGAGAGATGTTCTGGACTCTGGGGATCTATCAATATGACTAGAGTATTGTTACTAGCACAAACTAGTGTTGATGGGATGAGTCCGAGAGATTTCTGGACTTTGGGAATCTTTCAAAATGACTAAAACACTGCTACCAGAACAACTAGTGTTGACGGGATGAGCCCGAGAGATGTTCTGGACTCTGGGAATCTATCAAAATGACTAGTGCATTTCTTCTAGCACAAAATAGTGTTGACCGGATGAGTCCAAGAGATGTTCTGGACTCAGGGAACCTTTCAAAATGACTAAAGCATCACTACTAGCATAGCTATTGATGACTGGCTGAGACCAAGAAAAGTTCTAGACTCTAGGAATTTTCAAAATGAGCAGTGTCATTACTAGCACAACTGTTGTTGACAGGTTGATTCCGAGAAATGTTCTGGACTCTGGGAAAGATATTTTCTGGTTTATATACTACATGTATTTCAGAATCATAGGAAATCCAGAAAAATTATCAATTGTGAAACAAGTTCAAATCAGCCCTCCACAATATCCCACAGCACATCTCTGCCGTGTATTGGGAACATCTCCAGATGATAATACCAGAAATGATAATGTCATCATCAGGAGATGTTCCCAATACACGGCAGGGATGTGCTGCGGGACGTTGTGGGGGGCTGATTTGATCTCTTGTGGAACAACATATTTTAACATGATGTTTGGTAAAACTCATGGTGAAGAATGTTAAACTTGATTCCAATATCCATCAAACAACATTTTTATTCATCAATTGCCTAGTTTAATATCTAAGTGTATATGCGGAAAAGCATAAACAACATTATCATCTGAAGAATCATTATTTCTACAGTACAAAGGAATATGTCTAACAATCATCTTGGAATTTCACTGTCAAATAATCCATAATATTTGATTTTAATCCACAGAAAGATTAGTAGAAATGAATGTTAATTCCTACTACACAATCAAATTAAAATTCTGAAGATTGAAATACTTGGACCACAGAAGGATGAAAAGCTTTCTGGAACTAAGAAATAGATGGTTTGAAATACAGCAGCTTATAAAATCTATTTACGCATCCCATTACTGTGAGATAGAACTAAAAATAACCACAAACAATGGAAACCGTGAAATTAGCACACCTCAGAACGGAGATATGGAACAGATATGATTGATTCAAGAGGGAGAATGAACAGAACAAACACCAAACGACGTCTGAGGCGATGGAGAGGCGGAACAATGTCTATCCTTCGCTAGAACGGGAGAGGTGAACCGTGAGAGTTTGAGAGTGGAGGATAGTGGCGGAGAAATCTTCGAACCCTACGTCAACCTCTGAGAATGGCAGAGAATGGCGGAGAAACCTTCGACCTGAAAATGGTGAAGAATGGCAGAGGATAGCATGAGGAAACCTCGATCCTTAGTTTGAACCCTGAACAGGGACCCTTAAACCTCCAAATGGGTACACTCGAGTCAACCTCACCCAACCCGTTTCCATTAAAGTTAATTGATCCACAAATAGAATTGGTGGATGCAGTACAAACGGGTTTTTTTTTATAATAATCTGAAGGGTAAAATACATAAACTTCTTCTATAGTTTCACTTTACCAAAAACCTCTTTTCTATTTAAAAAAAAAAATAATGTGCATCACACCCTAAGCCATTTCCAATGACGTTAATTGATCCACAAATAGAAATGGTGGATATAGTAGTCCAAATGGGTTTTTTTTATAATAATCTAAAGGGTAAAATACATAAACTTCTTCTATAGTTTCACTTTAGCAAAAACCTTCCCTCTTTTTCAAAAAAATTAACAAATACCTCCCTTCCATCAATGACCATGACGGAAAACATTAAAAAGATGATATTTTTCAAAATACCTATTTTACCTTTTATGAATTAATGTGCATCTGCTTTTATTAAAATAACCCTGTTTCAACAATTCCGTAATCTGCTCGAGTATAGTTCATCTTCTTTCTCATGATGCACAACACCAGAATGGCAGTACACTCCATAATCTGCTCAAACAATATTCATCTTATTTAGCAGCTTCGCCATTAAAGCGTTCATGAAGTCTCGCACGAGAAATCTATAGGTTCGTCTCATGAAAAATCTGTAGGTTCTTCAACTACTTCGCCCTTCCATCAATGACCAAGACGGAAAACGTTAAAGAAATTTTACCATCTGATTAGTGATTCGGAACCTCTGCTCTTCTAACCCGTTGATTTGTTTTGGGCAGAAAAGATGGGTGTCAGCAATTTTTTGAAGCGTTCTCCAGTAAATGTCGTAAGGAGTGAATCCAATGGCTCAATTGAACATCAGACTATAAGTTGACTCACAAGACGATCAACAAAGCTAGAGATGTTCAAGATTTCTTTTGCTACATCAGGGTTACAAGTGACAATGACATGAGTCTCTCCGATATTGAAAACCATGAGCTGACTAGCTCCGCATTGCTGCCAACTGGTGGTGCACGAGGCCAACCATAAGATTCATGCTTCCAAACATAGGGAATCCTCTCGGCCTTGGTATTGGCTTGGCTCTAGTTCCTTTCTTCCACTAGTACCTTCCCCAGGCAGGTCCACCTAGGTAAGCCCAGTAAAGAAGAGCTACTATTAAACAAGCACTGCAATTTTGCAACGAGAGCAAAAACCCAGAAGCACTCTATTTTTGTTTCCATAGTTGGTGGGCGAATTTTGCTTTGGATCCAGAGGGAGAGGAAGGACCTACATATTTCTCGTGTGAGACTCCGTGAGAAGAACCTATAGGTTTCTCGTGCAAGACTCCATGAATGCTTTAATGGTGAAGCAATTGAAGAAGATGAACAATGTTCAAATGGATTATTGTGGAGTGCACTGCCATTCTGCAACTATGCATGTAAGGAAGAAGATGAATAGTGTTTGAGCAATAGGGCTATTTTAGTAAAAACATATGCACATTAATTCGTAAAAGGGTAAAATAGGTATTTTGAGAAAAATGATCATTTCTTAAATGTTTTCCTTCTTGATCATTGATGAAAAGGGAGGTATTTGTTAATTTTTTTCAAAAATAGAAGGGATGTTTTTGCTAAAGTGAAACTATAAAGGAGGGTTTTATGATTAGGATAAATATAAATACCCCTATTTAATATGGGGTCAATGACAAAGATGCCTTGTACTCTAATTTACACAAAAATCCATTGAATTTTTACCATGCAACAAATACCTGCTTACCCTTGATTAAGGTGGAGTGGATTGGCAACGATATATTCAATTTCAACCCACACCACCTCAATGCCATGTGTTCGGTCGGCTGTAGTCCACACTGTCTCATGGATTGATCCACACCATAGCCCATTTTCTCATCCACAAGTTTATCTCATGGAAGCATCTACGCCACACCATTTTGCATATGGAATAATGATCCCATACTTCACATGGATGTTTAACCCTAGTATAAGACCTCTTTTCTTTTTACTATTGCAACACTTCTTTGTGAGCTCATTGTTATTCTTCTCTACTCATCATTGCTATTCTTCCTTATTTGAACTATGGTTGTAATCGGATTGGACTCAGATCAGATGCAACAAAGCCCACATTCAATCTGATTATTCATAACTTACATCTGAATCCAATTGGCTTGGATTTGAATTCAAATCCTAACGGACTCGGATCGGATCTAGATTTAATTCGATTTTGCTATAAATTTTCTAAAATACCAAAAAATAATATTTATTTATTTTTTAACTTTATATATAATAAAATAATATAAATATAACATACTAAATTATTATATATAAATTCATATAATATAATATATAGAATATATTTTTATAATTTTAAATATAATTATATAAAATTTATATATTAAAATTAATAAATATTATAATAATTGGTTTCATATTTTAATCAGATCGGTGAGGTCACATCCGAGTCCAATCCAATTATTAATTGGATGTAGATTTTAACATCTGAATCCAATCCGACTAAATAAATACATCATTTGAATCTAAGATAATCGGATTGGATGCTAGATCAGGCTTTAGATTTTCGGGTATTACTAACAAACCTAGTTTGAACCACTCACCACTCCTCCTCCAACCACTAAATGGTAACTAGTAAGTATTCATCCTTTGTTTATTCCCATGCTATATTACTCTTCTCTATTTGAACCACTCACCACTACTACTCATGTTTATTAATTAATATTGATATTATTTTATTAATTTTTCAGCTTCAAATATTACTTTTATTAATATTAATTGTTATTGTTATTACTAATAATTATTAAATATTATTAAATTTGTTGTTAATACTATCAATTATCATTAATATTACTACTCATTTTTAATTAATATTAACGTCATTATTTGTTATTTAATATTATTAATTATTACTAATATTATTTTTATTAACTATTAAAATCCTTAGCAATTTACTAATATTTTTCTATTGTGTATATTACAGAAAATAATATTATTTTTAATGATTAACGACATAGATTATTTCAAATGTTATAGCTGAGATGCATGGAATCAAATACAATGTGCAGATTGAAATATGCCACACCTTGCAGAATGCCCATGGAGGTGTGGTGTGGATCAGTCTACACATTTTTGTCCATGGTGTAGAACAACTACCTTGTTGGGGTGTGGTGTGGATGAAAACACACTACCCAATTTCTTATCTACGTTATAGAACACCTCCTAAATGACAGAATGCACTAAATTATCAAAATACCTACTTGAACTTCCTTTATTATTTTTTTCATTGCCCTTTTCTTTTAAAACCTAAATCTAACCTACCTATTTTATTTGCAAAGTGCATTGATCAAAATAGAATATGTCACAAAATTCAGATCACAACCTTAATCATATGATCATAAACCCCAAAAGCACAATCTATATCATGGTTTTTGCAATGCCCCAAGTATTAGAATCAATGTGGCTTCTTGGAATTTCCCCTTCTTGCACAATAGATTGATCATTGAGTGTTAAAAGACTAGACCCATGTTTGGTATCACTTAAAATAAGTGGTGGGACCACACAATAAGTGGTAAATAAGTATTCATTACTGTTTGGCAAAAAGGCCAGGAATAAGTACTAATTTTGAAAACAAGTGTTTAAAAAATAAGCAAGTCCAATACTACTTATTTTAATTACTTCAAGATAAGTGCTTATTCAATTTTTATGGGACAAGATTGACCCTAAACATTTTTCAAAATACCAATACTACCCCTACAAATGGAGAAAACCCAATCATCTTCTCCATTCATGTAGGTGACTTGTGGCTAGAGTGTACTAGAGGGGTGACCAATGGCTCTTGTTTGTGATTTTGCTCCTATGTATGGTGTTTTTTCACATTTTTCCTTATTCCTTCATTGTAGGGGTGGCTACGAGCCAAGCTCTTCATGAGCTATTCGAGCTCTACTCGTGAAAAGCTTGGCTCAGTTCGATTTCAACCAAGCTCGAGCCCAATTAACAAGCTTGTTTATCAATCGAGTCAAGCTTGAATAGCTACATGCATACATATATACATCGATACATGCATACATATAATAATAATAATAATAATAATAATAATAATAATAATAATAATAATAATAACAATAATAATAATAATAACAATAATAATAATAATAATATATATATATAATATTTTTATTTTTATATATAATAATAACTAATTATTATAATTCTTAAATTTTAAAATATCAAATAAAAATATTTTTTACATATAAACATTTTAATCTTTATAAAACATTTTTCTCAAGTCTAGCTTGAGTTGAGTTGTCCTCGAGCTCAAGGTTCTAGCTTGAGCTCAAGCCTTGTACTGCCTTGGCGAGTTGAGTTCGAATACACCCCTACTTCATTGTTCCCATGTCATTTCTTCTTGCTTCTGCCATTTTTTTTCATCTAAAACCATATTTGTGCCCTTTCTTTTGCATAGATCCGAGTTTGGGATAACCTACACACATCCTACTACTGAGTGCCGACAAATCGAGGTAAATTGATTTCTATTTTTTTTTTTTTTTTTGCTTTCATAGTGAAATATGAATCATTTGCCTTTTTGCATATTATTATGAGTAATATGCGATTACCCTTTTTTACAAAAATTTTGGGATATTTTCATTATTTTTACTTATGATGTTGATTCTACATACTATTAATAGTAATATATTGATATTTTTGTTGTTAACAGAAATATTATTATTATTAATCTTAATTTATACAAAATGTTCTGGTTAATAGTAAAATAGATAATTGAAATATTTATTTTTATCATTATAGTTAATGATATTATCATCATTAATTTAAAACTATTATATTATAACTTCATTAACAATATTTGTTATTGTTGTTGTTGTTCTTGCTATTACTATTACTATTATAGGTAAAGCTTTGAAAGTGCTTTTGTAAAAGTACTTTTTGTAGTAGTTTTTTTTGAAAATTACTTTTTATAGAGTAATTTTATGTAAGTACTTATTGATAGTATTTTGTAAAAGTAATT